AAAGCTCAGGCTCAACACGGAATAATTCAAGAATATTTGAAAATTTTGCGATACGTGATAGCAAAATGAATTAAAGGAGAGTCGGTGGAAAAAGAAGAAAGAGACACGGTTAGACGCAAGTTAAAAATCTTGAAAGCTCAGACTCAACACGGAATAATTCAAGAATATTTGAAAATTTTGCGATAAATTTTGAAGAAAATCTCGAGGATTCTGGTGTAGAATAGAAGAAACGGAAAGTAGGCGAGTCACATGATGGCAAAATGAATTAAAGGAGAGTCGGTGGAAAAAGAAGAAAGAGACACGGTTAGACGCAACTTAAAAATCTTGAAAGCTCAGACTCAACACGGAATAATTCAAGAATATTTGAAAATTTTGCGATGAATCTTGAAGAAAAGCTCGAGAATATCAATGTAGAATAAAAGAAATGCGAATCGCACGATGGCGAAATTAATTAAAAGAAAGACAATAAAAAAAAGGAAGAAGATTACAATTGAAAAATCTCAAATTCTCCGACTCAAAATGGACTTACCGCGTTTCAAAGATGTTCGAGAATTTCTAGTTGAATTTGAAAGAAGAACAGAGGACTCGAGGATTCTAATGTGGAATAGCAGAAACGAAAAGTAGGTGAATCGCGAGATAGCAAAATGAATTAATGGAAAGGCAGCGAAAGAAGTAGAAGGAGGCAGGTTTAGACGCAATTTTCATGGACCACGGATCAGCGGTCGAAGCGTGTCGAGAAGCACGCCGTGACCCACTTGCTTAAACGCTGGCGAAATAATATTCAGCGAGGGAAGGGAGAGACTCGGTCGTTTCCATATGTACAGTCGGCTGCAATAATGCAGTCCGCAAACTCCATTTTCCTAGGCCCTCACTCTCTGGCCGTACTTTTCTGAAACGAGGCTGGGCTCCTGCAATCGATCAGCAGAGGACGACGGGGGGCACTTTTCTCTCACTCTCTCCTCTCCCTCACCCCTCTCTCTCTCTCTCTTTATTCCTCTCTTTTTCTCTCTTCACCCGTGACGACCTTAGTAAATAGATAGATCACGCGATAAATTGTGTCGTTAATTTTTTAATACTCAGCCGTGGACGCGACTTACGAGAGCGAAGTTGAGGAGTGTTGGGGAACGAGATGAGAATAACCTCTATAAGAAGATCAAATAATAACGACGATGTATGTACATACCTGAAAGGTAATAATTTATCTCACGGAACAAAATCCTCGTTTGATCCAAAGGTAAACGAAATGTGGCAAACAAACGAGACACGCTGCTCCATTTTAACATTATTAGCGCACAGTAACGAGCCTAGCGAACTTTTAAAAATCCTCTGAAAGAACGGGTGAAGGAGGTCGAGAGACGTGCCCAACTAAACGGAGTCTTCATTTCTGAAATCGTGGTTCGTTTAAAAAAAAAAAAAAAATAAGAAAGAAAGAAGTCCACCATTCAAGGGAACTACTCGAAGAAAGAAATCATATCTGAAAAGCTCGAGAGGGAGGAGAGGGAAAAGATCGAAGGGGATGACAGTGTCGTCGACTGTACGCTAGAATCGAATCTACGGAAGGCTTGCTTTGTAATCGCGACGTGCATAAAGGGAAAGGGGGAGAAGCACCGCTAGCCTGCATCGTTGGAAACGACAAACGACCATGCATCGTTCCCGCTCTGCAATCGCGGCACTTTGTTAATGCCTGACGAATACGGGACGGAAGGCTTTGATGATTATTGTTGGCCGAATAATAGAGGGTTCCGCGAGGGGAATGGAAACGCTTTCGACAGAGAGAGAGAGAGATTCCACTGCCACTTTGTTGATCATTGCGGCCTACTGGAAAGTGTTCATTGTCGCGCGCTTTGTTTCCCACCCTAACGAGATATTCGGTCATCCTACAAGTACTGTGGTATTTTTTAGGTAAACTTTTGACGTAAAATGAAATATAGCTGTTCTCATTTTTCCCCCGTCTTAACACTTGCGTGGACAAGCGAGTACTCTGCTACCCGAATTTTTTATGTTCTTGCGAAAGTATCGGAAAATTGCTGCTAATCCCCATTTTTTGGACATTTTTGTGTCGACGTACGTTTCCAAAAATTTATGCAAACAAGTTTAAATATTAAAGCGCGAAACAACTG